GAAACATTCAGAAACTATTCACAGATGATCGAAATTACTATAAATATGTTTTTTTTATTAAAGTCATGGCAGAAATATTTTTTTTATATTTATTAACACTCCCATAACTAATTTTATGAAAAACTCTAGAAATTCGAGACCATCGGTTTTAGTGATTACAATAGTTAAAAGCACAAGGCTTTGAAGAATGCAAATCATGTTTTGTTTTTTGTTTTTTTTTGGCCAGCGTACCTGAAAATCAGCTGTGAATTGTAACATACAAAACTCAATAAAACAAATATATTATTTAGTTTCAAATGCTTTTATTTATTTTAATTTGTTTTTATGAATATGGACAATATTTTCTGAAAGCAAAAAATTTTTTCAATGAAAATTGAATTTTTAATACAATTATTTCTTATTTCTTTAATTTTAAAAAGATTTTTTTTTAAATTTTGAAAAAAAAATTGAATTTTTAAAAAATATTTTAACATTAGTTAAAAGCAACATCAACCTTTCAAAATGTCCGTGTGAGATTGTCATTGTCTAGCGCTTTGAAAATTGTATAATTTGGACCAATCAGATTAGCCATGGTAATTAAGAAATGTAATTTTGTGTTTATAGTCGGACAGTAATTATCAAGTACGGAAGACCAACCAGAATACAATTTAGTTGCATTATTTGAGTTCAGCATTGTTCTCCGCTGTTAAGCCCTTTACTTTTTATGAAACACGTATGGAGAAGTTAATTTGAGTTTTCAATTTCAACTGAGAAGGGTACCTACAAGTAACAGTATCATCTTATGAAATTTAACTACTGCTAAACTTTAATTTATATGATCTTATTTTTATATTAATCTCAATTATGACATTTTTCCATAAATGAAATATCAAAATTAATAATAAAATGAATGGAAATACAAATAACACAGTAAAATGTAATAAATGTACATAAAATTATAGTATTTTATGTACACTTCTGATAAAATATCATAAGAAAGGTACCTAAATGAATTAGATACCTTTTTCTTATGAAATTTAATCTCACTATTAACAGTCTTATTTTTTAATTTCTTTATATTTTCCATAAACATCGTAAACGTAAAAATGAAAGGTAAGTACAAAAAAAAAAAAAAAAAATAAAAATAAATTAGAGCGTTGAAAGTTTTCCTTGAAAGTAACGAAGTAAATAATTTGTTCACTTAAATGATTTCACTTCCTTCCATCCGTAGAAAGAATTATCCTCCCGTAAGTTATCTAAACGTCATGAATGTGCCTTTCGTCAATCGTCAAGCGACGCGAAAGGTTATGACCTACTTTGTTTTATTTTCAAATTACATTTTTTTCGGCGCAAAAGCTAAGTTAAGCTTGGTTCAAAATATTTTAAATAAACAGTATAATTACTGTTTTTATTAAAATCAGTTTTGAAAACATGATTATTGATTTTTAAAAAGAATATCAAAGTCAGATTTTAATTTTTTTTTATCAAATCGAAAAAATGATTGAAAATGATTATTCGTCCTGTTTTTTTACCAAAAAAAAAAACAATATTTTAACGAAAATTTCAGACGCGCTAGGAACGATTAAAAAAAAAAAAAAAATACCCCAAAATACTTTGATCTTTCCTCTTTAATAATAATATGAACATTAGACAATAAAATTTTGTTTTCGTCAAGTTCGGCTTTTTTTTTTCATCATGCTATGCTCTTTTGTTTACATTTTCGTGGGTGAGTTGTCCCCTTTCATTCTCACGATGTGTCTTAATCGTGTTTTCAAATTGATTTGGTTAAAAAACAATTTTGTTTTTCCCATTTTCGGCGCCGTTAGAACCATCACAAGGTAATTTTATGTAGTCCTGTGAAGTTTTGTTGAAATCGGCTAAAAATGATCCAGGAATATTGATCCAATATATAAACACACACACACACACACACACACACACACAATCTGCGTTTTATAATAAGTAAGATTCCTAACCACCAGAAACCAAAAGTTTTTTTTTTCCCAAAAAATAGCGATAAGGAAAATTAAACATAATTGACTTTGACGTCTAGGTCAAAGGTCAGCCAGCAATAAACGGCAAACCTTAGAACAAATTGTAATAAAACCCACCACTCCCAGATAAAAGCAAAAAGTGAAAAAAAAGGGGGTTCACAATGACTAGGGCTTGATATAACCTATGTTTGAACAATGGCTTGATGAGTTTTGTTTTGTTTTTAACACCCCGTGACCCGGGTGATGACAACAACACTTAGCAGACGACATTTTTTTCGCCGCATATCTTTCGTATTTCCCATCGCCGGTCCATTTAGCCGTTCTTTTTATTCAATGATGTTCATACCAAATGAAATAGAAATGAATGAATTTTGAAGGATGCTATTTTGATGCGAAAATAAATATTTTTTCATTAAAAAAAGGGAATTTTTCTCAGAAAACCGCCGTGTGACATTTTCCACAGCCAAATCGAAGATTAATTACCAGTGAATAATTCCATGTGCAAACAATAGCCGTCTGGATCCTATAAAGTCGCCTTAAAAGGTCCAGAAGTTTGATCGAAAACCTGTCGCGCATAATTGTATTTTTCACGGTCAGTTTCCATTATTTCATCTTGATATTAACATTTTCGGACAGCCAAGTCATCAAGGATTCAGGAAAACACTTTGGCATAGGTTTTCTTTAAGAACTTGACATTCTATGAGATGTTTAAAATGTTACAGACGAATGAGATTTTTTTGCCGAATATTTCGTTTACGCGCCATGTTAGATTTTCCTATATGACAAAAACAAGGGTTTTAAACAGCCTTGATATATATATATATATAGATAGATAGATGCAAGTTTCATTAAATAATATGGACACGAACTGCGACGCGATTTTCGATTCCGCGTCTCGTATACACGAGTTTGTCGTTGCTTTGAAATTCGTCATGCAACAAAAACAGACTATCATTGTTTCGTCCGTGTATTGTTTTGTATATTGAAAAGTAATTGTCATCTTTTGATAATGGCTTCTGTAAGCCGAAAGCTTAGATTGGATTTAAACATGTATCAATATGGTGATTTCCTTTCGTCTTTCAATGATAATGTTACTAAGATTATCAGGCAATATGAAAGGAACTTACTTAAAATAAATAGACAAAACTTATCTATATTATTTAATGAAACATGCATCAATGAAAAATTGCTGGCTAAATATACACAATATAATTTATTGTCTGTGGGGGAGATGGGATAAAACAACAATTTAAAATCTAGCGCCTATATTTACCTGTGGGGGAGTTCATCCGAACAATTACCATGAAAGTATTTATAGAAAAGGCAAAGGGGAGATAACCTTACGACAGTGGGAAAGTGAGTGAAGCCGAGATGCCGGGTCCGGACCAATGATATTGCTGATTTGTCTTTGGATGTAATCAAGAATGTTTAAATGCATAACAGGAGTGCCGGAAATTCTACTCGGATTCGATTCCGAATTGTTAGCCTGGAATGATCAAGACGCGGCATAATCGTTCATTTTTGCACCTTTCAAGCAAACCGACTGCAACACATCAAACAAATAACTACCGTCAGCAGCATCGGCAAATCCAGACACTCTGTGGACACAGAATGCGCTTTGCAGAACAACAAGGACTTGCGCGTGATCTACTGCTCTGGATGCGTCCTGGGTATGACAATAAACTACATCCGTGTCCTGGGTAAGACGATAAACTACATCCAGCAGCAAGGCCTCTGGTCAGGTTTTGAGGAGCGTGGAACCACCTCTTAATTGTTGTGTTCCCAGGTCCACCCTGGCCCCGGGGTGGTAGCACCTGTTAGGGTCCCAGCTATGGGGTAAATACACTATGAAAGTGTAAAAATAGGTTTTAATACCAGAAATACTTTGTTAAAAATTATTATCAGCAATAAATTTTTGAAAAGAAAACTATTACCAACAATACGTTTTTGAAAAAAAAATATTACCAGCAATACATTTTTGGAAAAAATATTACCAGCTATGCATTTTTGGAAAAAAAATACTACCAGCTATACATTTTTGGGAAAAAAATACTACCAGCTATACATTTTTGGGAAAAAAATACTACCAGCTATACATTTTTGGAAAAAAATACTACCAGCTATACATTTTTAGAAAAAATATTACCAGCTATACATTTTTGGAAAAAAATATTACCAGCTATACATTTTTGGAAAAAAATATTACCAGCTATACATTTTTGAGTAAAAAAAAAAAAAAATATTACCAGCAACACATTTTTGAAGGAAAAAATTATTACCAGAAATAAAAATTTTGTCGGCATTAAATAACCCATTGAGGTTGATATACCGTAAAACAAAAATCAAAGGAATGACTTTAATACATAATCTACTCAGTTGATTAAAAACTACTTTTGTTTTCGTTTTCTCATATCAATGTAAAAATCTCTGACCAACCATTCAAAACATCACCCATAGAAAGTTTATACGCTGAAGCCCATGAGGAAGTGTTAAAATCGAGATGAGAAAAACTGGTACTACAATATTATTTAAAACTCAAATCCTGCCCAACTAAACCTGCCTACCATTGTACCTTTAACCCTAAATACAAATGTGGATGTGTGGTGTGGCGTAATAAACAGAATACGAATTCAGGTCGGGTTCGTTATATTTACACGCAAATACCCTTAAGAAAGTTATAAATCGATCTCTCCTCAAGCCCCAGAGTTGATTAACAGGATAGACCGGATCCTTGGGCGGCAAAAAGTCTGCTGCAGCAAAAGCGGCAAAATCTTCTGCCCAGTCAGCCATGAACCGAAAGCGATATTATTATCCATCCGTGTATCACGTATTGCACTCGACTGACTGATGATGACATGTTAAACGATCCACAGAAGTAACAACAGTCAAGAATAAACTAAATTATAAAGTTTGGCTACTTAATATTACTAGTGTACTAGGTGTGGGTAAACAGTGACCTATCACATGCCTCAATTTAGCATATGAAGCTGCCTTTGTTTTGATTGCGTGAAAAGACAAAGACGCTACTTGGAAAGGAGAAAAGAAAAAAAGAAAGGAGAAAAAAAAGGAAATAAAAGGGCGGAAAGGAAAGGGGGGAAAGAAAAGGGCGGGAAGAAAAGGGCGGAAGAAAAGGGGGGAAAAAGACAAAAAGGAAAGAAAAAAGGAAAGAAAATGAAAAAATGCGTAGCTAGAAGTGTTTAATGTCTATCTCAGTGAAATGTAAAGAGTTGTCAATTAAATTTTTTTTATTTGTACCCCCTTATTTCTTTAGATAATGACCAGCGTTCATATGTATGATTGTTATTGCAATAGTTTATTAATGTTGTTAAGCTCAAATATTTAACGATGCAATAGAGCAGTTCCGACGGAGATTTTATTGTCGTACAACTCGCCATGAGTTCAAATATTAATTAAGTTTAATGCCAGCATCTTAAAACAGAAGTTACATCAGCACCAAAGTTAAAACTCTTTCGATCAGAGCCCTTGCTGCCAATGAGTTAATATGCCGTAAAATAAACCAAATACCTTTAATTGGCATATGAAGCTCTCAGTGAATTTAACTTTGATATTAAAATTATAGGAGTTCCGTTCGGTATTGCTCAGAACAAAACTGGTTTCATTTTTAAGCGAATTCGAAAGACAATATTTAGATAATTGTATATAGATTCATTCAACAATTGCTTCCATTAGCTTTTACCATCTTTGAGGCAGCTTTATGATTCCATGCACCCAGAATTTTCAGAGAATTGGAGTCCTTTCGGTTCATATTACCCGTTTTAATACGAAGGTACAACGCCAATTGAATTTAATAGGACATCCCAGCCAAACGATCTAATTTCTACTGGGTCTGCCGAGAGACGTGATGATTGATTGGTGTATTTGTTTAACGGCATATCAACTCCTTATGGGTAATTTTTAACATCATTTCACCCCAAGCGAGGTAATAAAGCCACTAGGACGCGAAAGGTTATTGAGTGTTAGAGAATATAAGAAAAAATACTATTAAAAAGCGAGGACAATCAAATAATAATTAAGAAGACAGATAAGGATTAACATTGCATTTAAATTCTTGAAGATCAAAATTGACTGGAAAGCAAGAAGTCGAAAAGAATTTCACAAGCAAGAAGTGCAAAAGAAGAAATTGTTAGCATAGAACTTACGGTTACATCTAGCTATTTCAATTGTAAGATGATGAGACCTTGGCGCCAAATTCGTACAGCGCTTAAATTCATAAAGTCTTGGTACCATAGACGAAAGTCCCTCCGAACAATTACCATGGAAGTATTTATAAAAAAGACACAGGGAAGCTACGTTACGATGATATATGTTATTCTGCTTTCACAGTTGAATACATGGTAGATGATACCCAGCTTTTGTGCATATACATGTTTGTGTGGACATTATGAACAATTACTCGAGGTGGTGATATTTGCGTTTTATGTTGTGGTTTTGTTGAAGTTATAATAGTTTGGAATACAGGTCAAGAAATTATATATTATAATATCAGGAAAGAGTTCTTTCAAGCTGGTTTGATTTTGTTTGGTTGCATATCAACATCTCTGTGGGTTATTTAATGCCGAAATATAAATATTTTGAACACAATTTTATGGCTTCAACTAAATATATTTTGAACGCAATTATATGCCTTGAACTACAGATAAAATGATTTTGGGGTCATTTTAATATAAGTATTGTTGGTCATTTTCTACCACTTCGTCCCCAGCCGCTCAACCTCCGGCGTCTTCCACTTAGGTTGAGGTGTCCACTCGGTCCGAACCGAACTTAGGGAGCGTACGACCAGTTACCCCTGAGTACCCGTAGATTATTTCGACCGATCAACTGGTCAAGTCCTGCTCGCTGCCCACGCTGTGTTAATTTTTAGATCCAGTAAGCGGGGTGTTGTCCATACGTTCACGGTCGACTGGGGGAGTTAGCGCTAGGAAGTTTAAGAATGTGGCAAAATAAAACAAGAAATAATATCTGCAGAAGCCAGACAACAATGGGGGAAATATTGACTTCTTTTATATAAGAAGATAACATCAGAACAGAGGTTACAGGGAAAATAAAGATATTTAACATAAATGAGAAAAGAAAAAGAAAGACAAAATGCATCCAACGAATTCCCAACAGAGAGAGGGTTTGTGTCTGATAAACGCATATTGAATCGCCTGGGGGTAGATGCACAGTGTAGAGTGAGTGGCCATTGTTAAATGAATGACAGAACTGTCCCACAAACAGAATTGACAAAGTCTTGCAATAAGCAATTACAATAGCAAGAATAAGAAAAGTACAGGGCAAAAAATAATACAAAGCAAGCAAACAATATATGCAAGGCAAATTAACAGTAATAAGGCAAAACAACACTAATATGGCAAAAAGTTCACAAACTATGAAGGGTGAGAGAAGAAACTATTAGCATAGAACTTACTATTACATCTAGCAATTTCAATAGTAAAATAATGAGACCTAACTGCCAATCTAGTACAGTGCTTAAATTCGTAATGTCGTGGTATCGAAAAGGAAAACTGAGTGGCTATCGTTAAATGTAAATAAATGGAAGAACTGCCCAACAAATAGAACTGACAAATAATTTATAATTACGGACGATGTTATTTTGATTTCGGTTGTGTATTTTGTATGCCGCCTTCTTGCGTTGTGGATGGAATGATATGGCTATTGTAGGTCTTTGAATGTGTTTGCTATCTTTCTTCTTTAGGTAAATATTGGGGGCTGCAGTTTCTTAATGCTCTCAAATAGAAACCTATAATAATTCCAGACTTCATTTTAGAAGAATAGTTTGAGTAGAAATTGACCAGATCAATTTTGTTGGTAGCTTTTCTGTGAACGTTAAAATTGAATTCGTTATTGTTTCTGTGTAACAAGATATCTAGAAAGAGAATAGTGTACATGGTTTCAATTTCAAAAGTGTAGATTCAACGTTGTTAAATTGGTTGACAAAGTCTATTAAATTAGTATTTTTTGGCGATATTAATAGTGAGTCGTGAATGTATCTGAAGTAAGAAGGGTTTGAACAGGTAGAATATTTTTGAAAGGCTCACTTTCAAGAAACTCTAAAAAATAAACAAGCAAGAACGCCACTAAGAGGAGATCCCATTGGTAAACCAAATTTTTGTCTGTAAAGTTTGTTATCAAATCTAAAGAAACATTGATTGGTGATTAGCTGGCATATTTTTATGATTTTATGTGTAGGTAGATGTAATTTAATTTTTTTTTTTTTTTTTTTTTTTTTTTAGGTGTTTTTCAGTAAATTTAATTTTCTCTATAGGGTCGTTTATGTAACCAACGCCTTTATCCACTGTGCCATTGTCCTTGAGGACATCTGTGTATGAATATGTATAGAGATTTTATATCTAAACTAGCCATATATTTGTTTTTAATATCTATGTTTAGGAGATCATCGGAATTTTTCATGTGTCATGGACTAATAGTGCCGAGGAGTGGGGTTAAGTGTGTGGGCTAGTTTATGTGGAGTGTTACCTATCCCTGATATGATAGGCCTCACTGGTATGTTCCGTTTATGTGTTTTTGGTAATCCGTATAATGTGGGTGTTTTTGGATGGTATTCAATAAGTTTTATCCAGGTTTTAGTAGCTTTTTTTATATCGCTCGTGGGTTTTTGTGTTTCTTTCATAGCATTGTAATGACGTCTCACATTTTCTGGTGGTAAATGTGTTTATCCATCAGTATCTGTCTATATTTCTGAGATGAGGTATTATGTATATATTTCTGAGATGAGGTTTCGGCCTTTCAGTATGTACACTATTTATATTATTCTCGGACTATTGTCCGTATTTATTACAACATCTTTGTCGCCATATTTATTACAACGTTTCGGCCCTTCAGTATCTGTCTATGTTTCTGAGATGAAGTATTATGTACCCTATTTACATTATTCGGACTATTGTCCTCATCTTTGTCGCCATATTTATCACAACGTCTCAGCCGTTGTATGCTGTTCTAGTTCCACGTGCTATGTTTTAATGGATGTCAGTTATAAGTTATCTCCTGTTAATTTCCCCTCTGAAACTTCTCCACTGCCTTATTGAACTCACACTCATTGGGACCTATCACTGGTTCTAACCAACGCCTTTATCCACTGTGCCATGTGTCCTTGAGGACATCTGTGTATGAATTTCTGGGTATTATAAACCTAATGTCTCAGCAACCATTTTTACCAGTGCTCATATTGCAATTTTTGCTGTATTGCAACTTTTGTTGTTATTATTGCTTTTCTCTGGTACTCTTTATTACTGGTTCCCATATTGTATTTATTTCTATGCTTCGTCGGCTCAGGAGATTTTTGTGGCCTAGCATATGTGCTGATTCCTTAAGTTTACGAATTTTCTAATGGTGTTCCATGTCTATGATCTCAACCTGATCCCACAGAGGGCGGTGATCTCCCTTCTCTCTTCATATGTGGTCAGCCACGCCTGATTTTTCCACTTCCCCTCGCGTTACAGCTTTCTGGTGTTCTTGAAGCCTTACCTTAAGAGGACGGCCTGTCTCCCCTATATATTTCTTTCCGCAGCTGCACGGGATAACGTACACACAGTCTTTAGCCATGTTCTCCTCTACCAACCACCTGAAGGAGGCCGGAACGTACAACGGCCGAAGATGTTGCAATAAATATGGCGACAAAGATGAGAACAATAGTCCGAATAATGTAAATAATGTGATAACCCATGATTACAATTAACCCGCCTTTATCAGAACTGGATGTAGGGATGTTTTTTAACGAAAGCACTATTCATACATAGAAATAAATTCAATCACAATTTTTATCTTATAAATGCTGCACTAATAAAAAAAAAAAATAATAAATCACTCAGAAGGAAAATCCTCGAGAGTGCCGCCATTGATATTTACCCAAATATTAATCTACGCCCAGGTTTTTCTCCCAATATCACCTTTCCTAACAGAATCATTACTCTCTCAAGCCAACGTACACAACAATTATATCAAGAAATCAAAAGAAAACGATTGAATCCGTCAACACAACAATACAAACAATATTTCTACACTTGAAAATATTCTCTTCAAACAAAATAAATGACGTAATTTTTCAGTTGACCAAATGAATATACAATATCGTTTCTAAATTCTAGTTGCTAACGACATTTTGTTTGTTAAGATTTATTGCTTAAAATATACAATTGTAGCACAATGCCGAAAAGGTGGGGATGGGGGTTGAGGCTGGTCGTCACTTGCTATCCTATACCTAGCTAATCCGATGATTCACGACCCATTCATTCGTTACAATTGACACATTCACCACAAAAACCCATTCATCAACAACGAATCCTCCATATACCATAATACCACATACTCTCAGGAGAACAAAAAACGCACCCCATGACATAAAAATCTTATAATTTTAAAATTTCAAATACATAAAAATCTATGGATGATATAAAATGAAAGGAGAGGGGATGAACCCAAATACAAACTAAAATATACCAAAACAAATAAAATAAAGATAACTGATATTAACTGGAACCGTTACGCCCTCAAAAAAGAGAGGCCGCTGTATTCTACCTTTAGACAGAATCAAGAAGTTCTCTCACTAAGGAAGAGAGAAAGGATAAAATAAATACGGCCATAGGGAGAGAAAAAAAAATCTAATGAAGAAAGATGCAGCCATATTGTTTCCAAGGATATTTATGTAAGCGTTGATGTAACGAATTCTTGATTTATTTTGTACAAAATACAAAATTGTGACACAAAGCCGAAAAGAGGGGGAATTGGGCTGAGGCTGTTCGTCACTTGCTATCCTATACCTAGCTAATCCGATGATTCACGACTCATTTATTCGTTACAATTGACACATTCACCATAAAAAAAAATCAATCGGCAATCAATCCCTCTATAGACATACATTTTGTTTGTTGTTTATAGATACTCTCTTTCAATAAACTCTTTTCGGTTATTGCGTTGAAAAAGTCCACATTGGACGAAACACGTCGGCTAAAAATACATTTTCCAAAACAAATATTTATTTTTCAATGGAATTTTTTCTCAGTTCTGTAATGGATATTAAGAATATTTATCGAACATTAAACAGTGAAGCATTCAGATCAAACTTCAGGCAGTAAAAATATATTAAATTACGGTTATACATATATTACTTGTATATCCTTGCTTGAACCGGCTTCTAATGCTCTGGATGGAGCGGCTTGGGGATAGTAGTCATAGCTCGTGGGGGGCGCAGTCCTATGGGTAAATGAGAAATTCGGATGAGTTCCACCACGGAATATGTGATCGAGCGGCGCTATATTGAGTGATTCGCTACCCCTTCGTCAACGAGGTCCGTTGGTATGATGTTTGTCTAATGACTTAACTGTCCGGGTTTCAATTCTCGGTAGTGGATGCGCATTGCTGATGAGTCCCAAATATAGGACGAAACGGCCGTCCAGTGCTTTCTGCATTCTGTTGAGGTTTCTTCTAGACTCGATGAATTAATTATTAATTAAGAAGATAATAGTTCCTCAATTTAGTTACCATAGTTTCTCACTATGCTCCGTGTCCCTTTAGGACGTTGGAGATCATGGCTCTCAACAATTTCCTGTCCCTTGGAGCTCTTAAGAATATAACTTTTTGCCATATTTCACCATAACCTGCTTCGTCCTGGGTAAGACGATAAACTACATCCGCGTCCTGGGTATGACGATAAACTACGTCCAACAGCAAGGCCACTGATAATACGTTTTTGAAAAAATGTTACCAGCTAAACGTTTTTGAAAAAATATTACCAGCTATACGTTTTTTTTTTAAATAATAGTGTTGCCGACTGTACGTTTTTAAAAAATAATATTATCAGCTATAAGTTTTTTTAGGAAAAAAATATTAACAGAAATAAATTTTTGACAAAACAAAAATATTACCAAAACAAAAAAATTGTCGACATATATATATATATATATATATATATCCATTCAGATTGATATGCCGTGAAACAAAACAAACCATAACCTGCTACACCATCTATTTACTCAAGCTCGCTTTCCTCTGTCTGTCGTACCTTCAATCTGTCCTGTGTGTATCAAATTTTCTAAGCCCTCTTTCCTCATTTTGTAGCCAAGAAACGTCAAATGTCTCTTCCTGGTGTTAAGTAGAACTAGAACTTCGTCATTGCTTATATGTTCGGTCTATGGTATTCTCAGCATCCACCTATAGAACTATATTTCTGTTATTTTAAGTCTCTTCTTCATCTGTGAAGAGATTGCCCAGTATTCAATGCCATATAGAAGAGCTGGTACTACATAATACTCCAGTGATATTTTGGAAATTAAAACACCCTAAAATACACTGAGTACCCACTTATTGAGGAATCGGAGAGCTCGAATTCCAGTTGAATCCATTACATTCACTTACGTGCTAACACCCTTGGGAAAGGTATGCATCCTCTTCTCCCCACCCCAGCTATGAGTAAATAGCAGGACAGACCGGGGTCTATAGCCTTGGATGGCAACTGGTCTACTGCAGAAAGAAATGGCAACCCACTGCAGGAAAAAATCTGCCTCATCAGTCATGTATCGAAAAATACATGATCGCCTGTGTATCACACATAGCACATAACTGACTGTCTGACCGATCCATTTAAAAATAGTTGTACACGCCCCAAACCACACGCACACACATTATATAGAGAAGAGAGTTTCACAGGCGAGAAGTGCGACAGAAGTGACTAACAATCTAGTAATATGCTTAAATTCATGCAGTCCAGGTGCCAAGAAGGGGAACTTATTAGAATAACTGCCATGAAATATATAGAGAGAAAAGGCAGAGGGAAGCCACGTCATGGAAGCTGGAAAGTGGCTGAAAGTCGAGATGCCAGGTCAGGAGCGATAACATTACAGACCTTTCTTTAAATTTCGTTGAGAATCCCGAGATAAATTGGAGGTGCACCAGATCAGAGATGGCAGGAATATGATAGGTTTATAAATGTGCAAGATGGATTGTAGCTCTTAATATCTTTTGTATTTTTACCATCTCTCCGATACCCTGCTCCACCATTCATTCACTCAAACTTGCCAGATAAATTGTGCTTCGCTTTCCTCTGCCATTCTTACCTTCAATCTATCCTGTGAGTATCAAACTTTCCAAGCCTTCCTTCTTCATTATGTGTCCCATAACCCTCAACTGTCTCTTCGTGGCGTTAAAGTGTCCTTTTTGTTTTCATCTTCTCTAAAATTTCGTCTTTGCTCACATGTTCGGTCCATGATATTCTCAGCATCCTTCTGTAGAACCACATTTCTGTTGTTTTAAGTCAATCAATATTTCCATGAAAACTGTGCAGACAAACTACAATCCTTAGTTCAACTATTTCTAACTTTCACGGCTATGACCCACCGTGCCACGCCCATGGTAGCCTACCACCCTCATTGCCTCCGTATCCCATTGGTGAGAAGTTCCACTCAAGCAGCTTCTTCCTACGAACCACTACTCTGTGGAACCGACTCCCATGAGGATGCTTCCCTGATCACTCCAATCTTAACCCGTTTAAGTCTAGGGTTAACTGTTACCTTGCCCACATAACCACATAAACGGTACCTCTTACTCTGTAAACCTCTACCTGCTATGCGGAACAGACTCCCAAGAGGATGTTTCACAATTGGTATTTAAAGAAAAAAAAAAAAAAGAAAAAAAAGAGAAAAAAAGGTAAAAAAAAAAGAGAGAAAAAGGTAAAAAAAGAGAGAGAGAAAAAGGTAAAAAAAGAGAGAGAGAAAAAGGTAAAAAAAAAGAGAGAGAGAAAAAGGTAAAAAAAAAGAGAGAGAGAAAAAGGTAAAAAAAAGAGAAAAAAAAAAGAGAAAAGAAAAAGAGAAAAGAAAAAGAGAAAAGAAAAAGAGAAAAGAAAAAGAGAAAAGAAAAAGAGAAAAGAAAAAGAGAAAAAAGAAAGAAAAAGGCAATAAAAGAGAAAAAAGAAAGAAAAAGGCAATAAAAGAGAAAAAAGAAAGAAAAAGGCAATAAAAGAGAAAAAAGAAAGAAAAAGGCAATAAAAGAGAAAAAAGAAAGAAAAAGGCAATAAAAGAAGAAAAGAAAGAAAAAGGTAATAAAAGAAGAAAAGAAAGAAAAAGGTAATAAAAGAAGAAAACGAAGAAAAAGTCAATAATAAAAAAAGAGGAAGAAAAAGTCAATAATAAAAAAAGAGGAAGAAAAAGTCAATAATAAAAAAAGAAGAAAACTGAATAATAAAAAAAGAAAAACTGAATAATAAAAAAAGAAGAAAACTGAATAATAAAAAAAGAAGAAAGAGTAAAAGAAGAAAAGGAAGAAAAAGTGAAAAAAGAAGTAAAAAAGCCAAAAATTGAAAAAAAGATGTGAAGAAAATGAAAGTGAAAAAAAAAGAGAAGTGAAAAAGAGAAGTCAAAATGTAAAAAAAAGACAATGAAATATAAAAAGTGAAAAAAAAAGAATTGAAAAAAGAAATTGAAGAAGAACAATGAAAAATGGAAAAAAGAAGTGAAAAAAGAAAAATGAAAATGTGAAAAACAAGTGACGAACAATGAAAAAAGGAAAAAAAAAGTGAAGTGAAAAAGAAATAGAAAGAGAAGAAAAAGAGAAAAGAAAATAGAAGAAAAAGAAATAATATAGAAAGGAAAATGAAAAGAAATATCATCATCTCATTATTTGCTTTTTTATTTTTTTAATCTCCTCCTATTGATTGGAATCATAGGGATAAAGATAGACAAGGGTATGAACAAGAGTATGAGGGGAACAAAGGTGTGAATACGAACTGAACTTATAGAGTTTTGGTAGCGCCTCGGTGTTGGGTTATGGTTAACGAGGCTAGTTTTGTTTACTATTACTAATTAGTTCAATCCTCACATGTTGTATACAAAATTTGACATAAAATCATTCAATCAAGCAAAAAAAAAAAAAAAAAGCACTAACCACGATGGATTTTAACCTCTATTCGACGATTCCATTTCTCTGTTGTCAAGGGATTCACGCCCGCATTACCGACCCTGCCGAGATTCCCCGACTGACCTAAAAACCCAAAATTGGTAAAGGTTCAAATTTAACGATAGGCCCTACCAGCTCGATTTTCTCCTCTATTAGCTATGGATTTTTTTTTTTTTTGAGAGCAGTTGACATTGGACGATTGGCAATGTCGTTTCAGACGAATAAACTGGCATACCTGTACAACACAGTAAGATGTAAAAAAAAAAAAAAAAAAAAAGGAAAAGAAAACAGGTTTTTACTTTGCAAGGACACAGAGAATCAGATCCGGTAATTTTAAAACTACGTTTATATATATATATATATATATATATATATATATATATATCTCAAAATAAACAATTCACATGCTAAATTAGAAATATAAAAGCGATAATTTACCCATCGTACCCTGTATATATACATCAATTTCTGTCTGTGAATCTATATTAAATTTTTTTACATCTAGCCATCTATATCTGAATAAAATATATATATATATATATATATATATATATATATATATATATATATATATGAGCGTACCGTGATGAAAAATCCCTAAACTTAATAAAACAAAATTTTATCGTTAAAATCTTTATCATTAAGAGGCAAATGATTTTTTTTCTTTATTAAAGTATATTTTGTCATCCGTTTTTTTTTTTTGTTTTGTTTTATTTTTGTTTTTTTGCGTTAGTGGGAGGGGGAGAGGCAAACATTAGGATCAGGATTTTTTGCCTCGTTTTTTGCGCAGAAAATCCCAATGATTTAGAAATTATTGCAAAAAAAATTATAATTGTCGGATTTTGATCAAATTTTCAGGACTTATTCAAAAATGAATGAAATTATTTTAAAATTGTTAGTTTTTTTTGTCGTTTTTTAGAAAATCTTGGTAACAATATATTTTTTATATCGTTTACTCCTCCCGCACTTATTTAATTTTATTTCATGAAATTTCGACAAATTTTATAAAAATTAATTATAATAATTTTTAAATTTTTAAATCTTTTAAAATTCTGTCTTACTTCGCAGGGGTAAGTAAAATCTATAATTACTAATTATAAATGGAAATGCTTACTGCAATTCATCGGCCTCCAATATTTTAAAAAGAATTTTGAAATTTTTTGTGTGTATAAACGTGCTGTTTTTCGTAAATACGGATGTCCATAAACGATATTATCAGAAAATAAGAGCGTTAACTATAGTAAATTTAAAGCCAAAGTATCTAAAATTCATTAAAACAACAGATTACGGAGAATAATTTCCTAAATTTAAGATTATTGGGTTGTTAAAAATTATATAAAAAAAAGACGCTCACGTTATATTCCTCAAGTAATTTTTACAGATGTATCTACCGTAGAGAAAAATTAGATAAACTTCCGAGTGTGATTTAAGTTCTCAACCGGTCAATACCTTAAATAAACAGCTACCACTGTGTTAAAAATGCGGTACTTTAAACTTAAAGTTAGAAATATTTGTATTAAATCGGGTTAATTAAACTTTAAATCAGCTAATATTCCTCAAATAAAGTTTCAGAAAAAGTATATATTTTTGGAAGATTTTTTTTTTAATAAAGAGAATTACATAGTGATAAAAAATGGCGCTGAAATCAGTGATTTCAGCAATTTCAAAACGAAAACTGTTTCCACTGAATTTAAATTAGTTTTGAAATACAGCCAGGTATTTTGCTTATTGGAAATATTAAATTTAATCTATTAGCTTGAAATTAAAACTAAAATTAAAGTTTCAAGGAAGATTTTTCAATTTTTAAAAATTTATTTTAAAACTCAAGTATTACGTTTCCATGGCGGTAAATATAATCGCTGTGGCGATCAGTAAATTCTCCAATGGGTTTTACTTATAATAGATGTAAAAATAAAAATAAGTAAATAATTTTACAAAGATTTTCTAGAAGACAAATATCTAAAATAATTTAATTCATTTGTGAATAAGTCCTGTAAGTTTTATTAAAATCGACAATTATTTGATTTTTGCAAGAATTTACAAATCAATGTGATTTTACCGTAAAAAGATGCTAAAATTCCCCATACTAATTTATAGTCACTAGTTGACGTAAGAAAAACAAAATTTTGAAGGTTCTGAAAAGGGTTAAAAATATAATTTATTAATTAAAAAAAAAACCCTTTAGCCATTTCTCCTAATGTTAAAAGATATTGATAAAATAGTTTTTATTAAGCTTGAAGCTTTTTTTTATCATAAGATGTTTTTCAAACGAATCTATGGAGTTATCTACATCTACCTATATCTCAATTTTCATCTATATCCATCAATATATCTGTCTAAATTCCTATTTGCCTGTTTGGGGATCGACGTAAGAAACTTTATTCCTTTCTTGAACGTGGTCTTTTAACGGAATGAAATTCCTCCATGTTCTATTTATTTATTCTATAATGGTCTGTCTTTTCAGAAAAGAAAAACCGGTGATTATGACATCCCAATTAGGCCAGTTCAGGTGTACTCCGCGATCTGTATAGGGACGCACTCTTGAGTCCCCGGGACATTAAAAAAAAAAAGTCACTGACGTTGTGTTGTTTTGTACAAAAATATCCCATATAAATTATCGGCGGCAGTCGAATCTTAAACAAATAATTCTGGCGTATCAGAACGCCATTACAGTGTTGTTTTAAGCCGCGCAAATGGGAAGAAGTTGTGTATTTATATATGCGGACTTGTTTGCATGTAATAATAGTAACAATGATAATATCACATGGCCATCGAAAATATCAAGTAATAATAATAATCATTTTTATTTTTATTATAATTATAACGGAGAAGGAAGGGAAAAGGCTGTAATAATTAGGAATAAGTTAAAAAAGAAGAAGAAAAGTTAAAAGAAATAAAGTTAAAGAAATTGAATAAGAAGAATAAATAGAAAAAAGTGGACAAAGATGAAGAATAAATAGAAAAAGAAGAAAACGTGGAAAAGAAGGAAATAGAAAAAAGTAGAAAAGAATGAAGAAAAAGAGGAAATACTGGGAAAGTGTAAAAAGAAAAAGAAAAATAGAAAACAAGAAGAAAAAGGAGAATAGTTGAAAAAGCAAAAAAAATGAAGAAAAATGAAAAAAAGTGGAAAAGAAAAAGAAAAATAGAAAAGTGGAAAAAAAGAAAATGAAGAAAAATAGATAAGGTGGAAAAAGAAGAAAAGTGTAAAGACGAAAAAATAGACAACGAAGAAAAAAGTGTAGAAAGAAAAAAGAAGTGTAGAAAGAAGTGTAGAAAGAAGTGTAGAAAGAAAAAGAGGAGAAAGAAGTGTAAAAGAAAGAAAAAGAGGAGAAAGAAGTGTAAAAGAGGAAAAAGTAGAAAAAAGGAGAAAAAAAAGAAGAAGAAAAAGCGAAAAAGAAAAAGAAGAAAAAATAGAAAAGGTAGAAAAAGAAGAATATTTTTGAATGATACAAAAGGAAACGGATACTCAGTCGTCTGTTGAGTACGGAGAAAGATGGATGACGAAAGAAAGAAGTGGGTGACATTTCGAGGGAGGCCATCGATAGACGAAACCGGATAGAGAAGAAAAAACATGAGGAAGAAATCTTTTCAGCTTCGAGAAAGACTAATGTAAAAATCAGAGGCGTGCCAAAAGTTGTAACAGAACTGGGAGAGGTATTAAAGGCAGATCAGAAGATAAGGCGAAAACGTGAAGGCGAACTATCCAGACATCTCTGGGGACAAATGGAAGGAATATCAGTTGAGGAAAAAAAAAAAAATAAAAATAAATAAAACACGGCTGCGCCGAGGACAGCTAAAGAGAGAAACTACATCCTTATATTATTATATTAAAACTTGACAAGGTCTGAGAGTTTCAATCAAAGTAGAGGGTTACTGTAAAAATGTTTCTGATGAATGAGGTGTTATGGCGTTTCACTAAGCAAGGCCGAAATTATGGAGCACTCGGTGAGAATCCAGCTCATTACTCAATTTTAACTGATCTCGCGAGACAAGGTTGCCAACAGTTACACCACGTAGAAGTACCCGTAAATGATTTCCTAAGCGTGACTTTGATGTGGCAAAAGGCTGAGAGTCACCTTATGAGTATCGAATTCACTATTCAGTCGTAATTGATCGAGCAAGGCAAACTTGTTAACCAATACACCACGTTAAAGTTCAAGCTAATGATTTTCTAGGCGTAGCCTAGATGTGACACAAGGCCAAAATGTGGGTATCGAACTCACTACTCAGTCGTAATTGATCTAGCGAGACAAGCTTGCTAACAATTACACCATATCGGAGGTGTGTGATATGAGTGAAAGAGAAAGTTATGAGGATAAGGTAACATAACGATTGACTTTGAGAGATTAACATTGAAGTTATTTACACTATTTACATCGTTCGGACTGTTTTCCTCATCTTCATTGCCATATTCACGACGTTTCAGCCTGCTTCAGGATCTGTCTATTTCTAAGATGAGGTATTATAACTAGTTACACTATTTACATTGTTTGGACTGTTGTCCTCATCTTTACATTATTCGGACTATTGTCCTCATCTTTGTCGCCATATTTATCACAACGTTTCGGCCGTTGGTTGGAATATTCAAACTGAACCCTTTATTTTGCTTGCTGGGGTAGACTGTTCTAGTTCCACGTGCCATGTCTAATGGATGTCAGTTATCAGTTATCTCCTGATTTCCCTCTGAAAGTTCTCCACTGCCTTAACCGGATATTGAACACACACTCTTTAGGGTCCTGTCACTGGATCTAACCAACGCCTTTATCCACTGTGCCATGCCTTGAGGACATCTGGGCATGAATTTCTGGGTATTATAAACCTAATGTCTTCAGCAACCATTTTTTTAACCAGTGCTCATATTGCAACTTTGTTATCATTGCTTTTCTCTGGCACTCCTTATTACTGGTTCCCATATTGTATTTATTTCTATGCTTGGTCGGTTCAGGAGATTTTTGTGGCCTAGCATATGTGCTGATTCCTTAAGTTTACGAATTTTCCAATGATGTTCCTTGTCTATGATCTCAAAATGATCCCACATAGGGTGGAGATCTCCCTTCTCTCTCCATATGTGATCAGCCACGTCCGATTTTTCTACTTCCCCTCGTGTTACAGCTTTTTGGTGTTCTTGAAGCCTTACCTTGAGGGGGCAGCCTGTCTCTCCTTTATATTCCTTTCCGCAGCTGCACGGGATAGCCTACACACAGTCTTTAGTCATGATAAATATGGCGACAAAGATGGGGACAATAGTCCGAATAATGTAAATAATGTACATAATACCTCATCTCAGAAATATAGACCTGTCCTCATCTTTGTTGCCATATTCACGACATTTCGGCCATTGTACGCTCCGGCCTTCTTTAGGATCTGTCTATATTTCTGAGATAATGTACTGTAACTATATACATTGTTCGAACTGCTGTCCTCATCTTTATTGTCATATTCACGATGTTTTAATTGTTGTACGCTCTGGAATTCTTAAGGAGCTGTCTATATTTCTGAGATGAGGTATTGTTGCCATATTCACGACATTTCGGCCGTTGTACACCCCGGCCTACTTCAGGTATTTCTTTTGAAATTTCGAACCGAACCCGCCCATCAGAGTAGATTGTTCTAGTTCTACATGCCATGCCTCTTCCGGATATTTCAATTTCAATTATTTCTCTAACTCAAGTCAGGTTTTATTCACCTGTAGTCAGGTATTAAACTCACAACTCTTTGGGCCAAGTCAGTGGATTCAACCAACACTTATCCAGTTGATAAAACCCTTGAGGACACATGGCCCAGTTGGTAAAGACGTTGCTTGAATCCAGTTACTTGACCCAAAGAGTTGTGAGTTCAATACCTGGCTACAGCAGAGGTGAACAATAACTTGGAGAGTTGAGTTAAAGGGAGATAACTGATGCTGAAACATCCAGAAGAAGGAAGAAATGAAGTGTTTGGTTCGAAATTTCAATCATCTGAAGAAGGCTAGAGGTTACAACGAAACGTCGTGAATATGGTAACAAAGATGTGGACAACAGTCCGAACTTCGTAAATAGCGTAAATAATGGCAATAACTCATCTCAGAAATATAGACAGATCCTGAAGAAGGCCGGAGCGTACAACGGCCGAGACGTAGTGAATATGGATACAACGATGAGGAGAACAGTCCGAACAATGTAAACAATGTAAATAATTACAATACCTCATCTCAGAAATATAGACGGATAAGATTGACGTGTTCAGGTAAGCACCCGTGTGGGAGTATGCAGCACAAAGTATCAGTTATTAGAGAAAAGCTGTCAGAGTGTAAATCTCTTCTTACATTTCGAAAACAGAGAAGCAATAGTTAAGATAGGACACTGAAACAAATAACAAACGGTACGAAAATAGTTGTAATACTCGTGGTCACTTAATAAACGAAAGCGAGAAGTTGATTCCTACATACGAAAACAGATATGACTGTGTAAGAAAGGTTATTCCATTGCGAACTATTCAAATAGCTAGGGTTTACCAGGTAAGCAAATGATCTATATTAGATGTCTCAAAAACCGCAGAAAGATAGTACACGACATGTGGAACAGTCGACCAGATTGTTCGTTAATGTTGAACTCTTTGCCTTGAGCAGGGAGGAACCCAGACAAGGTTTTGCCGAAGGGCAAAGTTTTCGTCCGGGGAGGTAGACAGGCCCTGAACCCGTTTATGCGGGTTCTAAGGGAATATTTTTGGCCGAGCCTACGGGCACGGAACATCCTTCGTGGGGTGGGGTGCTGTTAAATATAATAGTCCACGACCTGCACCCAGCGTGCGGACTGTCTGCGGCTCGCTGGAAGCCACTGTCACGATTAATGTTTTCCTCAAATTTTTAATAAGTCTAATAAATTTATTTACATTATTCGGACTTATCCTCATCTTCATTGCCACATTCACAACGTTTCGGCCATTGTACGCTCCGGCCTTCTTTAAGTGATTGGAATTTCAAATCGAACCCTTTTATTTTGTCCACCGGGGTAAATTGTTTTAATTCCAAGTGTCATGCCTCTTTCAGATGTCTCAGTTATTTACCTTTAACTCAACTCTCCATGTTTTTGGTTCACCACTGTTGTGACATGGTATTGAACTTACAACTCTTTGGGTCTAGTCAGGGGATCTACCTAACGTCTTTATCCATTTATCCGTTATTGGGCCATGTGTCTTTGGGGACCTGGAGAGTTGAGTTAAAGGGAAATAACTGAGACATCCGGAAGAGGCATGGTACGTGGAACTAGAAGAATATACCCCGATGGACGAAATAAAGGGTTCGGTTCGAAATTCCAGTCAACTGAAGAAAGCCGGAGCGGTCGAAACCTTGTGAATATGGCAATAAAGATGAGGATAACAGTCCGGATAATGTAAATAATCTAAGTAATCATAATACCTCATCTCAGATATATAGACAGACATTTAATAAATTTGCATTTCCCTCTTCCGTATTTGTACAGCAGCAAGATTGAAATCGACCTAACCGATAAGTGCCAGCAGTCAATCAATTTTTAAACCCACAGAGTCCTTTCTAGTCCCTCTCCAGGGAAGGGAAGACAAGTCGACATCCCCACAACAGGTATTCTTTGTCAACTAACAGACGAGAGGGTTTTTTTTTTTTTTTTTTTTTTTTTTCCAACAGTATCTCGATCTCTTTTTTTGTTTAATTTTATAAGGAGAAATAAATTTGACAACTCATTATGGACAGTTAACCACCCCCTCCACGAACATTTTAACCTTCCCTTGCATTTGTGAACGTGATAAGAATTTTAATTCGAAAAAATTTGCCTCTGTCAGTGGAGACCCCCCCTTTAGAATTAATGCCGCTCTACTAGAGTTGTTGCCTCCCCCGACATTATTTTAATAATCTAGTGACAGGTCTGCGTCTGGCTCGTTGCACTTCACTCCCCTACCCCCGGCTGCACCGCCCAGCACATAATGGCCCGTCTTCGCCCTTGAAATTGAGATCGCTGATTAATATAAAAAAACAGAATTTGACAGACAAATTGATCGGGTATTTATTATCTACTCATTTCGCACGAAGGAAGGGGATAATGCTACTAAAACACCCGGGTTATTGGGAGTGAAAGAGAATGAGAAGACCTTAGTGAGGAGAAAGGACAATAAAAGAACAGGTTTCAAGAAGACAGAAGATGGCTATAATGCCACTAAGACACAAGGGGTTACTGGGTGTGAAAGAGAATATGACTTTAGTGAGGAGAAATGACAATAAAAGAACAGGGTTCAGGATAAAAGAAGATGGCGATAATGCCACTAAGATGCAAGAGGTTATTGGGAGTGAAAGAGAATGAGAAGACTTTAGTGAGGAGAAAGGACAATAAAAGAACAGGTTTCAAGAAGACAGAAGATGGCGATAATGCCACTAATACGCAAGAGGTTACTGAAAGTGAAAGAGAATGGAAACCGATACACGTCTTATCTCTAAAAAAATCTATGTCTAAATAAAAATGAGAGAGGTGCGAGAACGTCTTTTACACCATTTTTTTTATATACTACTTTGGCAACGCTATATAGTAGACCTTAGCAGAGGTTCTTTGGCAGAAAAGTGGGAGTATTAATTCTCCAGATTCAGTATTCTTTGGTTTTTTCTCTCTTTTTCTCTTTCTTTCTCTTTGTCTTTTTTCTTTCTCTTTGTCTTTCTGACTGAAGGAGCCCTTCTCCGAAAGTCGAGTTTTAAAATTAAGTTCGAAAAAATATATATGTTGGGGACCATTCTAGCAGGAGTCCACTTGCCATCGGGCAAGATGATACCCTGACCTGTCTGTCACTGAGTAGCAAGCTATAGAATCACTATCTTTATTCGAAGAGTGACAATGTCCGGCTGGCTTTAGTTTTGAGAAAGAAAACGAACAAACAAGCAAAAACATTTAGATTATACCTCTTCTTTTCTGGTTGTGATGGGGTGGTGTTGAGCTACGAAAAAGCCAAATTATTTTTTAAGAAATCTGTTAAGTTCTGTGCCATGCGTGATACACGCTTAGGCGAGCAAATAAAAGTGAAAAATAAACGTTGTGCTGGTCAAGATTTGCTTAGTAAATCTCGCATCAGTTTACAGTTCGGGATCAGTAGACTAGTGCGACTCAAAGCTAGGCAGAGTATTACAAGACAGTAGGAATTCGTTGGTAACAAAGGAGAGTACTGAGCTTCTACGCGACATCTATCCTCCGTTACGGCAGCGAATGTTGGACGGTCTCCTCAAAGATGAAAACGAGACTCCAAGCAACGGAGGTATGGTTCTACAGAAGGATGCTGAGAATATCAAGGACCGAACATGTGAGCAACGATGAGGTTTTTGCAGATGCAAACAAGAAAGCTTATACTTAACATCAGGAAGAGACAGCTGAAATTTCTGGGAGACGTAATGAGAAAGGAGGGCCTGGAGAATCTGATACTCACAGGACGAATAGAGGAAAAGAGAGACAAGGGAAAGCAACGCATGACATACCTAGCAGATTAAGCAAGTAGATCACAGGACATGGCCTGGGGGGGAGTTTAAAAGGGTCAAAACTTATTGAGAGCTACAAAGGATAGGGGGAAGTGGAGAGCCCTGATCGCCTACGTCCTGAAAGGACACGGCACATAAAAGAAGAATTGGTAGGTTGGTTGTTTTTTTTAATGGTATATCAAAACCTCAGTGGGTCATTTAATGCCAACAAAATTTTTGAAATAGATTCATAGTGATAGTTTAGAAAAAAAAAGGGGTGGTGTATGTATACATATATATTTGAACCATTTCAATTACTCATATTTTTTAGTACAATCCAACTTAAGAATGTACAGCTGTTCGTATTACTGGTATTTTTTTTAAGTATTACTGATAATAATTTTTACTTCAAAAATTATTGCTTGTAATAATTTTTTATTACGAAGTATTTCTGGTATTAAAACCTATTTTTACACAAGTTTTGGTGTTAACTATTTGCTCATAGCTGGGACCCTAACAGGTGTTACCACCCCGGGTCAGGGTGGACCTGGGAACACCAGCAATTAAGAGGTGGTTCCATGTTCCTCAAAACCTCCTGATCAGGCCTTGCTGCTGGACGTAGTTTATCGTCTTACGCAGGACGGGGATGGATGTTTGTCGTCTTACGCAGGACGGGGATGGATGTTTATCGTCTTACGCAGGACGGGGATGGATGTTTATCGTCTTACCAAGGACGGAAAGAAGAATTTTTAAGGTGGGACACTGAAGTAACAAATAAGTCGGTGCGAAACTAGTAGTAAAACTCGATCACATCAACGAAACGGGTTACTGAACTATTAATTATTAGAATATTAGTGGTTTATTTTTAACAAAAAAAAAAACTTGAGCTTGCTTGTTGGTTGGAGCAGTTGAGTTTTTCTCATGGGTACAAACAGTTGGTTTTTGGCCTCAGCTAAAGCTGATTTTCAAGTCAGGACATCTTTTATATGTGACATCTTTAGGACGTGGGCGATCAAGGATCTCAACTTTATTTATTGGATAGAAATTCCTTTTTTGAATTATTAGCGCAACATAATCTTTCTGGGTCATATAGCCATGTATCAGATTTATCTCAGTTTCAAATATATCGATTGAGTATCTTCTAGTGTTCAGATGACTTTATAAAGTTCTTATTTCTTTTTATTACTAAAACAATTGCCTGCGTTTGTTTGCATTTTTATTTGATACAGGGGCTCACTTTGCATCGGGAAAGCGGACACCGTGGCCAGCCCGCCAGTGTTCGTTTATTTTTCACTTTTATTTGATCGCCTAAGCGTATATCACGCTTGGCACAGAACTTAAGATTTCTTAAAAATTAATTTGGCTTTTTCGTAGCTCAACACCACCCCACCACAAACAGAAAAGAAAAGAATCTAAATGTTTTTGCTTTTTTGTTCGTTTTCTTTTTTCTTTCTTTTGCAAGTTTCTCAAAAGTAAAGCCAGCCGGACATTGTCACTCTTCGAATGAAGATAGTGACTCTATAGCTTGCTACTCAGTGACAGACAGGTCAGGGTATCATCTTGCCCGATGGTAAGTGGACTCCTGCTAGAGTGGTCCCCAACATATATATTTTTTCGAACTTACTTTCAGAGCTCGACTTTCGGAGAAGGGCTCCTTCAGTCAAAAAAAAAAAAAAAAAAAAGAAAGGAAACGAGAAAGGGGGGTGAGAGGAAACGAGAAAGGGGGGGAAGTGAAAGAAAAAAAAAGAGAGAAAGTAAGAAAGAAAAAAAAAAGAGAGAGAAAGTAAGAAAGTGAAAGAAAAAAAAGAGAAAGTAAGACAGTGAAAGAAAAAAAAAGAGAAAGTAAGACAGTGAAAGAAAAAAAAAAGAGAAAGTAAGAAAGTGAAAGAAAAAAGAGAAAGAAAGTGAAAGAAAAAAGAGAGAGAGAAAGAAAGTGAAAGAAAAAAAGAGAGAGAGAAAAAAGTGAAAGAAAAAAAGAGAGAGAAAGTGAAAGAGAGAGAGAGAATAATGAGCACCTTAATAACATAACCGACAAGCAAGTCAAATCTCATTCAAACAATCATTTTAACAATAACGCCATTAACATACGAGTTCTATGTGAAAAGTGACGGGGCTGGTGTCACAAACAATTTATTTCAATTCCAAACAACAAACTACATGGTTTTCCCTTCGAAATAATCCTCTTCGAGTCTAATGCCGTTTTCCATCCTTCTCTGCTACACTGCTGGAAGGATTCTTCTTGGATGCTTCCTCAGCTTCGTCGTGACGGCCCTCTTGATGGTCTCAAAAAAGGTCCCTTTGATGATCCAATTGAGCTTAGGGAAACGAAAAAAAGTCATATGGAGCTAGATCAGGTGAATGGGGAGGTTGTTCCAATACGGCGATGTTCTTCGTGGCCAGGAACTGCCGGATGCTCAGGACGTTGTGATCAGGTGCATTGTGTTGTGGTGAAGCAGCCACGATTTGCCCTGCCACAACTTTCGTCTCTGCAAGAGTACTGAGCGAAGCAAACGGTGCAGGATCTCTTTGTAGATTTGCTGATTGATCGTAACAAGAACCTGCTGTGGACAATGACACATCGAACAACGGTAAGTCCCGTTATTTTCTGATAGAACTCGTAGGTTACCAAAATCAAATTAATCACAGTTACAAAAAAGACAAAAAAAAAGAGAATGGAAAACAATCATAGATTTAAAACGCAGTTGATAAAAATAAATACAGCAGATTTATTATTTACAACAAATAAGTCAAAACTAGCAACTTAGTTATTAAAAATAACATATCCCAAACTTCACCCCACCCACACACTATATAAGACCAGTGTTGTGAATGAATATACTTGTCCAATCAGAGAGAGAGAGAGAGAGAGAGAGAGAGAGAGAGAGAGAGAGAGTCTCTAAGCCGACAGGACTTCATAGCTTTTTTTCTTTCAGCGCGGACTGAAAGGAAAAAACGGTGAGCGAATCTTCGCTGACGGCCAGTCGGTGACTATCAAAGAGTCAGCTACAACAGATTGGATGGTCAATGAATCTTCGCTGACGGCCAGTCGGTGACTATCAAAGAGTCAGCTAGAACAGATTGGATGGTCAATGAATATTCGCTGACGGCCAGTCGGGACTATCAAAGAGTCAGCTACAAAGGATTGGATGGTCAATGAATCTTCGCTGACGGCCAGTCGGTGACATAAAACGAATCATCTCCAACAACGATAACAAAGACGATCAGTGGATCTTCGCTAACGAGAAAAGCTTTTTTTTCAACGACAGCTTTTTTCTGTGAACCAATTATCTAAAAGTCTTGTCGAAACTACAGCTATTTCGATGTACCCAAAGCTTTTAATGATATCTCCTCATCCCAGAAAATCCGACAGAAGGTGATCAGGTGATAATAACAAAGATGAGGATAATTGTCCAAATATAAATAATGTAAATAATGATAACTTCTCATCCCAGAAATTTAGACAGGAATTATTAAATTTTCTATAGTAGTACAAAACAGTGGTGTCAAGGGAAAAAACGTTATTTCGACATAACTTTTTATTGTAGGTACGAAGGTCAAACTTTGCAGTGTAGTTTTTTTCCTTGCTTTTCATTCCATTATATTGTTTATTTGTTTTTTTGGTGGTGGTGGATCTATTTTTTAATATGTCTGTTTTTACTGCCATAACCCAAGTATGTTACTCATTCCCAATACAGCAGTATCTCTTTATGAAAAGCGACATAAAATTTGCATATTTACTTTTGTGACATGACAGCTACACCTTTTCACGTTGGAATTTGTCAAACTTCAAATTTGCCGAAGTCGATTTCAAAGCAATTCAAATATTAAAACGTGTCACGCAATGTGTGAAACTAAGAACCCAGGAGAAACAGAAATGATAAAGAGTTAAACTGATAAACGAAAAAAAAAAAAAAACAACAACAAAAAAACACCAATAATCTTTAAAAGCATAACACGTCTTAACCTTGAAGTCCTTTACTCAGAAAAGAACATTAATATGCCTGTCAAAAGTGTCCATCTACCGAGTATTTGTTGACAGAATCAGATGCCTATGGTCCCCAGAGATAGGGCGCAATTATTGTACAAAGGGTAGCTAAAAAAAAAAAAAAAAAAAAGGATTTTGACATAATGACCCAATAGGTGTCGATATATCGTGAAATCCACGTACGCAAAACAACGAAGAGACTACGCGGGAAACAAAGAAAGAGACTAGAAAAGACACACACACACACACACAGATTACAGACTGGGAAAGAGACACACAACCGGAAGACAGAATGCGATACACACACAGATAACAGAGAGAGAGAGACAGACAACAGAGCGAGCAAGACAGGCACAAGCAAAGAAATGCAGGTAACCGGCACAGACAGACACACGCACATATAACAGACGGTGACACACAGGGATGAGAGAATGAGAGAGACATACACACAGATAACAGACTGACATGCACAGACGATAACTAAGAGACAAACAGATAAAAGAATGACACACACACAGATAACAGACAGAGAGAGACGCACACAGATATCAGACACACACACACACACTCTCTCTCTGAGATACCACACTCACACACACACACACACACACACAGATAACAGATTGAGAGAGTCACACACAGATCAGAGATAAACTGAGAAAGAGACACACACAGATCAGAGATAAACTGAGAAAGAGACACACACAGATCAGAGATAAACTGAGAAAGAGACACACACAGATCAGAGATAAACTGAGAAAGAGACACACACACACAGAGACACACGCACAGATAACAGACTGACGGACACACATATAACAGAATGAGACATACACACGCAGAAAACAGATTGAGAGAGACACGCAGACCCAGAGAGACACACAGAGATAGGCACACATATATATATATATATATATATAATAAACAATGAGAGAGGCATACAGACAAAGACACCGTCATATAACAGACAGTGAGACACAGACCCACGCAGATGACAGACTGAAACACACACAGAGATAGACACGCACGCACACACACACACAGATAACACACAGAGATAACCAGACACGCACGCACACACAGACCGAGATGGAGATACATATACACAGCAGATAGACACACACTGATAACAGAGAGAATACACGGATAGCAGTCTGAGAGAGACATACATATATATAACAGAGCGAGAGATAGACACACACATAACATTGAGAGGGACACGCATAGATAACAGGCCGAGACGCACAGTTAACAGAGTGAGAGAGAGAGAGAGAGAGAGAGAGGCACACACAGATAATAAACTGACACACACACAGAAAACAGACTGGGAGAGACACACACACATAAAAAAGACGAGGACACACACTCATGTTACAGTGACTCCATACATCTAAAATATTGATTCTCAATTGCCGCGGCACACTAATGAGCCGCGCGAGCCTCTTAAGTTTGCCTCGAAAGTTTGATTGGATTCGAAATTTCTTCATAAATGTTTCTTCTAATATTGGACTTCAGTTATGTCAATTAGAAAAATGGTCAGCATTTCTAGTGATCAAGGTCTGGAAATAAAACATTCGACGGTAGCCATTGATCTATTATGGATTTTAATACAAAAGGAATATCCCACATTAGCTAAAAAGGCTTTTCAGTTATATTGCAATTTTCTACTTATTTATGGGATTACGCTTATCAACCCTAAATAACATCAAAAATAAGAAGCGAGAAAGACTACGCTCAACAGAAGAGGAAATGAGGGTCTGCTTATCGACCATTCGATCAAATATTGTGTAAATCACAAAAAAAGCTCCAAGCAGTGGTTTCACACTAAATAACCTGCACAAATAGCCGAAGAGAAATATTGAATTAAAGTCAGTTCATATATGTGTGGGTATTTTTTTTTTAAAGCTATGGTTTTTATTTCATAACATTTAAATGTATATCATTTAAAAATTTTGCTAAGTGTGCCGTGATATTTTCATTTACTCCTAGGTGTGTTATTGCTTAAAAAGGTTGAGGAACACTGCTCTAGAGCTATAAATCTGTTTTCCAAGACTGTTTATACCCATTCATTCTGACGATTTAGAAAAGTGTCTCTTTTGTTGAAAATTGATTGGTAGGTTATTTTGTTTTACAGCATATTAACCTCAGGACGTCATTTAATACCGACACTGTTTTGGAATTGATTTTAGCACTGTTTGGTAGAATATATATATATATATATATATATATATATATATATATATATATATATGAGGTATATATATATATCTGAGATGAGGTATTATTGTAATATTATTTCATTTGTCGACTATTATTTATCTTTGTATATATATATATATATATATATATATATATATATATATATATATATATATACACACACGTTTCGGCTGTTGGACGCTCCGGTCTTCAGGTGGTTGGAATTTCGAACTGAACCCTTTATTTCGATCACTGGGGTAGACTGTTCAAGTTTGATGTTTGATGGATGTCAGTTATCAGTTATCTCCTGTTAATTCCCCTCTGAAAGCTCTCCACTGCCAGGTATTGAACTCACTCTTTGGGTCCTGTCACTGGATCTAACCAACGCCTTTATCCAGTGTGCCATGTGTCCTTGAGGACATCTGGGTATGAATTTCTGGGTATTATAAACCTAATGTCTTCAGCAACCATTTTTACCAGTGCTCATATTGCAATTTTGCTGTTATCATTCCATGTTTTTACCAGAGCTCATATTGCAACTATGTTATCATTGCTTTTCTCTGGAACTCCTTATTACGGGTTCCCATATTGTATTTATTTCTATGCTTGGTCGGCTCAGGAGATTTTTGTGGCTTAGCATGTGTGCTGATTCCTTAAGTTTACGAATTTTCCAATGGTGTTCCCTGTCTATGATCTCAACCTGATCCCACAGAGGGCGGTGATCTCTCTCTCTCATATATATATATATATATATATATATATATATATATACGCAGTACTATTCAGCCAGTCATATTTTTGTGTACATTCCAATTACTTTTATAAAATCTAGTATCCTAGATGGTGTTATTTCCATAAAAAGTTTCTTCAAATTACTTGTTTGGTAATATTGTTCCCACTCTCGATTCAAGTTTGTAAACTCAAGCAGTATATATTTAACTGAATCTTTTTTGGTATGTAGTACATATTGGGGATTCTGTGGCCTCCAGTAAATGATGGTGGGTAATGTAGGTGTGGCCTATGTGAAGGAGGGTCAACACAACTTGTTCTCTTCTATTCCTGTATTTTGTGTGCCATTCTCTAGTGGTAGGTTTTAGGTTTTGTAGTTTGTTATTAGTGTATTTATCCCAATGATTTTGCCACTTAAAGATAATTCTACTCACTGCCATTTTATAATCAGTATACGGTATTTTTATTTTTGCTATTGTATCTATCATAGCTTTCTTTGTTTCCAAGTCTGACTGGTCATTTCCGGTGGCTGGCCTCCAACAAAAGATTATTTCTTTATTTTTTTGATAAATGATATCCTGTTTTAAGTGCTTGTGGGGTTAAAGGGTCAGTAACGTTTTTATTTTTTTAAGGCAGTAAAGTGCAGAGAAAGAGTCCTTGAAAATGAATGAATTTGTTTAAAATTGAAACATACACGACTTAATGAAGCATATAGACGTGACCCAAATTGCCTGTATGCGAAATAATTCTCCAACTATTTCCCGAATGTTTCAATCTTCGTGCATAGATGTGAGTAATTGAACTAAGGCAAACAGTGTTGTGTTATTGAACCAGTTAAAATAAATCTTTGCTCATGATGTGTAACTGAAGATATAATCGCCATTACGACCTTCAAAAACAAAGCGGATTGTGACAAGGTATATACAGGTATGTGGCAAGAAATTAGAGCGGTAGATATATAATAGGTACTCGGAAAAGAGCAAAAATTAATTTAAATTATTTATAGTTGAGCTAGCTAGATGTAACATTCTACACTAACAATTTCTTTTCTTGTACCTGTCGCCTTCCGGCTCCATACGATAAACTACGTCCGCGTCCAGGGTAAGACGATAAACTACGTTCAACAGCAAGGCCTCTGATCAGGAGGTTTCGAGAAGCGTGGAACCACCTCTTGATTGCTGGTATTCCCAGGTCCACCCTGACCCGGGGTGCTAACACCTGTTAGGGTCCCAGCTATGGGCAAATAGTTAACCCTGCAACTGAGGTAAAAAGCATTATGAAAGTGTAAAACTAGGTTTTAATACCAGAAATATTTGTAAAAAACTTATTAACAGGAATAAATTTTTGAAGAAAAAAACTTACCAGCAATACATTTAAAATAATATTACTAGCTATACATTTTTTGAGGAAAAAAATATCAGAAAGATTTTTCATAAAACGAAAATATTACCAGGAAAAAAAGGTTGTCGGCATTAAATAACCCATTGAGGTGTTGATATGCTATAAAACAAACTAAACCAAACTGTCCAGCCAACTTTAATCTGTAAGAAATTAAATGCAATTCCATTCGCTATCAACTGTTTTTCTGATTACTATTTACCCCTCCTACTCATTAGTAATGTTTCCGTTCCTAATTCATCCACATCCTGTAACCCCTTGTGTGTTAATGGCTGTACTGCTTTGCTTGGGGTTACACCTTGTGTGTGTGTGTGTGTGTGTGTGTGTGTGTGTGTGTGTGTGTATACACACGCACACAGTGGATAGCAAAAGTATTTAACACGTCGGATTTTTATAACTTCTCTCCATTAACCATCCAAGAGACTCCTATCTGCTTTCCATCACTATGGCTGATGCTAACCTCCAGGAAAGTGACTCGTTTCGCCTCCTCGGGCTCACGTTCTCAGCTGATATGAAGTGGAAAGACTATATTGAATCTATTGCTAGGTCAGCTGTTAACAAAGTTTGTTCACTGTGTTAGGCGAAACAATTCTTCTCTCCAGAATCTATCTTGCATATCGATAAGTTTACCATTCGTCCATGCTTAAAATATTGCTGCCATATATGGTCCAGTGTCTGTGCGATTTAGTTGGAGCTCCTTGATAAGATCCAAAGAAAAATCTGCAATGTTATTGATCCTGATCTGGCGACTCGGCTTCAGTCACTTCCCCACCGCCGTATTTTTTTTTTTTTTTTTACAAATACTTTCGTTGTAACTGTTCGGATAAGCTCTTTGCTATGGTACCTAGACTGGATGAATTTGAGCGCAGTACTAGACTTGTGACAGGATCGCATCAATTTACAGTTGAGCTGGCTAAATAAAGACCTAACTTCTCCGCTAACAGTTTCTTTTCTCGCACCTCTCGCTTGTGGAACTCTTACGGTTCCAGTCAATTTTAATCTGCAAAAATTTAATTGCAATGTCAATCGCTATATACAGTTTTCTTGATTACTCTTTCTACTCATTACTAATGTTTCTGTTCCTAATTCTTCCATACCCTGTAACCCTTGCGTGTTAGTGACTGTACTGCCTTGTGTGGGG